TGAACAGGTTCCCAGGGAATGGGCACAGCCCCAAGGCTGCCAGAGCTCCAGCAGCATTTGGACAATGTTGTCAGGGATGCACAGGGTGGGACTGTTGGGGTGTCTGTGCAGGGACAAGGGGGTTGGACTGGATGATCCTTGTGAATCCCTTCCAGCTTGGGGTATTGTGTGATTCTATGATTCCATGATACCTGGGAGGGCAGACAGCCATCAGTGACAGTGACAAGCCTGGAGAGCAGTGTGGATGTCAGGCTGCTGCTGGCAGCAAGGGCAGTCATCACTATCCCAGGTCCTTCAAATTCCCTGTGTGTGACCCCCACTCCAACAGCAATCCCACACCACATCCAGGTGGCTCAGTTCAGTAGCCAGGACACTTGGGGGGGTTCCACCTTTTCCTTCTGAGGCTATTGTGGGTGAGCTGTGAGACTCTGCATAAAGGGATCACAGATCACAGCAAATGTCCTGGTTGGAAATGAGAGGAAAAAAATACATACAAGGATTACATGCAAGAAATGGCTTTCCTGCATGCTCCACAAAGCCATTAAACAGGTTCTAATAGGCTCATTTTATAAAACACTGATACAAAGGTGGAAAAGAAATGTGAGGCTGCTGTATAGTACAGACCTGACTGAAGGTACTTCAGATATGAGCCCAAGTGTGCAAAGAGATTTTTGCTCTCTGGCTCCCATATGTGATGGTGTTCACAGCCATCTCAGGTTGAGGGAAGAGATGAGGATCTGACTCCATATTTTAGAAGGCTTGATTTATTATTTTATGATATATATTACATTAAAACTGAACTAAAAGAATAGAAGAAAAGGTTTCATCTCAGAAGGCTAGCTATGCTAAGAATAGAAAAAGAATTAATTACAAAGGTTTGTGGCTCAGACTGAAAGTCTGAGCCAGCTTGGCTGTGATTGGCCATTAATTTTAAACATCCACATGAGACCAATCACGGATGCACCTGTTGCATTCCACAGCAGCAGATAACCATTGTTTACATTTTGTTCCTGAGGCCTCTCAGCTTCTCAGGAGGAAAAAATCCTAAGGAAAGGATTTGCATGAAAAGATGTCTGCGACACCCACAGACTCAAAAAGTGACCGCAATCCAGCACCAGGAATTAGGGGGTGAGGTGAGGCCTCATGAGGGCCATGGGGATAGCTGACCCCTGCTCTGGAACATTGAAAGATCCTTTAGTGGCACTGCAGGCTGTGAGCAGGATGTGGATGTGCCATGGATTGTAGGTGATCCTGTGCAGCCTGGAGATGCCACGTGCTCCCAGGCCTCAGGGGCTCTCCTGTTCTCTCCATTCCCTTCACAAGCCTAAATGCATTATTTAACTGCTCTCTTTCTAAAAGGCTGGGACAGAGGTTTGCCTGAAATGATTATTGCTACTGCTTGCAGAATTAAACTGTCGATTAAAATAGGTTTTATTTAATTAACTTGAATGAAATAAATGTTTGTGTCTTATTCAGTCTCAGGAGAGGTGCAGATCAGACAGTGCCAGTAAAACTGACTGACCTGTGCTTTTTCCAGCAGGATGAGCACAAAAATCTCTCTGTGGCATCTAGACAAGATTCCTTAATCTCCTTAGCCTGTCTCGGGGATAGGCATAGCTGCCAACAGTGCAGGGGCTGGGATTGCAGGGCTGGGTGGGTAAAATCGTGCTTGGGTTCCACGTTCCAGTGGAAGTGAAAGCAGCCTGGGATTTGGTGAACAAAGTACCACAAAGTCCTGGATATTGCTCTTCCTCAGGTCCTGCTGCTGCCTCACTGACCCACAGCCCAAGTACCCCAATCCTGATTATCCTTGTGCCAGCTGGCCTGTGGACAGCTGCATACAGAAAACCTAAAAATTCCAAGAATTCCTCCATCTGAGTGCTTGCATATCCAGTTCTAAAATCCTCATGCACCACCTGTGTCCTGGCTGTCTGTGGGTGTGATGGCAGCTAAGTGCTGAGGTAGAGAGAGGGAAGTGCAGTGGGATGATCTGCCAAACCTGTTTATCCCACATTTTTCCTGAAAAATGTGTGCCCACTGATCCCAAGCAATGCATCCCTCAGCCCTTCCCTTATCTGGAAGTGTGGCAATCAGGAGGGGAGGGAGTTCAGTGCCACCCATGTCCTCTCCCAACACAAGGCAATCATCATGAACCAGGGTTCACTTCCAGTGCGTTCTATAGAATCATGGAATCATTAAGGCTGGAAATGCTCTCTAATTTCAAGTCTAACCATTAACTCAGCACTACCATGTTTACCACTGGCTCATATCAGGAACAGGGTGTCCAGCAGGCCCAGGGCAGTGACTGCCCCTCTGTGCTGGGACATGTGAAGCACCTTCAGCCCTGGGGACAGGTCTGGGCCCTCACAGCAAGAGACACTGAGGGGCTGGAGCGTGTCCAGGGCAGGGAACAGAGCTGGGGAAGGGAATGGAGCACCAGGAGAGGCTGAGGGAGCTGGGAAGGGGCTCAGCCTGGAGAAAAGGAGGCTCAGGGGGGACCTTGTGGCTCTGCACAACTCCCTGACAGGAGGGGACAGCTGGGGGTGGTCGGGCTCTGCTCCCAGGGAACAGGGACAGGACAAGGGGAAATGGCCTCAACCTGTGCCACAGGAGTTTCAGGTTGGATATCAGGAGGAATTTCTCCACTGTAAGGGTGCTCAGGCCTTGGAAGGGGCTGCCCAGGGAGGTTTGGAGTCCCCATGCCTGCAGGTGTCCAAGGAATACCTGGACATGGCACTCAGTGCCATAAGCTGGGTGACACAGTGGAGTGTCACAGCACATGTTGGAGTCGAGGGGGCCACAATATACAGAGCATCACCACAGAAATTCAGAAAGCTTTAAGCGTTTGCTCAAGCAGAGTAACACCTTACTTCATCAGAAAGCTTCAGGCATCCACCCATACAGAGTAACACTGTGTCACTCCAGAAAACTTCAAGCAGCTCTTTGCTGTTTTACAGTACAACCTTTTATATTCCTCATCCCACATGCCCCTGTGTGCCCTCTGTTCCCTTTGGTGGTTGGTCAGTGCCCCTGGGCACTCCATGGCTCATTGCTGTCAGTGCTGCTCACCTGCTGCTCACAGCTGTGCTCATTGAGGCTCAGCCCCATCCCAATCACCACAAACTGTGTGCCTACAACACTGGGGATTGGTCACAGGTTGGACTTGATGAGCTTGGAGGTGTTTTCCTACCTCATTGATTCTGTGATTTTGTAAACTATGTCCCAAAATGTCCCATTGACACACTTGAACCCTTCCTTTTGCAGCAACACCCAAACACCCACACAACCAAACATGGAACACCCAGCCTCCATCCTGCAGTTGCTTCTGGTGCCAAATCAGGTGGAAACATGCAGAAAAATGCTGGGAAACTCTGAATTAATCCCTTTTTTTGACTAACCATACTGCTTCTCCAGATCTTTTTATTCCAGCTCTCCCATTTAACCACCTGCTGCTGTTACACCCCTGAAGATATAAATTGGAAGTTTTCCCATATCATACAGTGGTGTAGAAACCCCGGAGTCTAGAAGATTCCTAAATTACTTTGGCTCTGTAAAAACGAGTCCTGAGCCACTTGAGTCCCAAGGCTGAGTCAAAGGTGTTAGTTTTCTTATTGCCACATGGGATAAAGAGGAGTAAGAAACTGTAGTGCTGTATTAGTCATTCTTGAGATAGTCATAACTATTATTTGTACAATAGTTCAAGGGCTGAACTATAACCTGTTGGAATGTTTAGGAACTGATTGAGGAGAGGGGAGCAGATGGGGAGTAGGCAGGGATGGATGAGAAGGCACAAATTGTATATTTATTATAGAAAATGTAGATATATTTTATTTATGCATGTATAGATAGAGGGTTATATGGGGATGTATGTGTAAAGTCACATAAACCACCCACGAGTGTATAAAATGATACATTCATGTGTTATTCCAAGGCAGAATGGATTCAAATTGAAGGAGTAGGTTTATATTAGATATTAGGGGGAAAAAAAAAATCCCTGTGAGGGTGGTGAGGCCTTGGCACAGGTTGCCTAGAGAAGCAAACTGTGCCCAGCTCTGGTGGTCTGGACAGGGCTTGAAGCAACCTGGGATAGTGAAAGTTGTCCCTGCCCATGGCAGGGGTTTGGAACGAGATGAGCTTTTCCCATGCAGCCCAAACCATTCCACGATTCCATGGTGATCCTTCCACATAAGCATACACCCACAAACGCGCAGCTCTGTGTACAAAACATTCTCTAATAAACCATAATTAGACGGCTAATAGCATTTACCCGTAAACACCAATAAGCACCTGAACGCGCGCCCGTTGCGGCAGCGGCGGGGCGGGGAGAAGGTGAATCCAGGCCCGGA